GGGGACAAACTTGCTGACTGTACAATAAACTTCTGTCTCGACAAGTCAGACACTCTTTTATGAGCCAACTGACTAACGTCTGCTGTCGACAAAGTTTTAAAAAAAAGTTCCTGAAATATGAAGCCATAATAAACAGAACTCCACTGGTCAACACTTCAAACAGGACCATTAACCTCTGGTCCACTTGGATGAAACCCAGGCTGGAGAGTCTTGGTGCACACCGACCATGGACAGAACGAGTTCAACACTTTCCGCCGTGAGTCAGCCCACACTTTAGAGCGCAGCGGCTTTGAACAGGCTCTTCTCTCAGTGCTGCGTTTAAACCCACACCAAACCTCAGGTCCAGGCCATGCATAAAACATCAGTGCAATTCAGAAATGTTCAGAGAGTTGGGCCTCGCTGTGTCCTCCTCATCATTAAAAAGCACAAAACATGTATATTGCATAATCTGAGAGTACAACATAATACGACTGCTTAATAATTTACTGCAGTTCCTGATTAATTATTAGGGGGCAGCCTTGGCACTTATCGCCCTTTTCTTCTTCTTATGTAAACGGGGGTGGAGGGTGAGAGCTGAGGGTGGTAGGTGCTACACTGACATTTTTATCAGCAGTGGTTTTAAATAATTCTACTTTTCACCACAGTCTAAGGAAAATATTAAAAGCAGTGAGTATCTAGTCACTCAGTGGTGCGCTAGCAAAATAGCAAATTAGCACTGTGTTAGCGGTGCGCAACAACGCAATGATTTATCTTGACATCAACTGTATGTGTTTTGTTTGTGTTTTTCAAGGTTTTTTCAATTATTATATTAATATTATTATTAAATTATTATTAAATAATTATCTCTACAACTGGATGTTTTCAAACTATTAGGTGGTGCAAAAACAGAGGAAATATTTGTATTCCAAAAGCTTTGATGACTCTAGCAAATATCCTTTTTTGGGGGGAAAATAATTAGATAAAAAAAAGCATCAAAGAGTGTTGTTCCACTTCCACACAGCAACAAATTTGCACCATAAAAAGTGCAGTTTTCCTTGGATGTCACTGATTACAGCTCCAGACAGGTAAACAGGAGCCAGGCTAAATTCAGCAGACAAACGATGAGCACATGTTCACACTGACGCTGCTCGAAACAAACATCACATCATCATCTGACTTCATGCTGTGTGAACTCTCTGAGGACCACGGTCGCTATATACGCAGAAGTACTACATCATTTCTGAATACCTTTTTTTGTAGTCACACCCAGAAATACTAGAGTGAGATGAAAAAAGACATGAAACAGTTTCCTGTCAAAGCCTGTGAGACAGATGAGCGACTCCACTGAGTGAAAAGATGCAGCGATAGAACAAGGGACAGATGAGGGCAAGAGACGCCGAGGGAAAAGGAACATCAGAATGAATGTTCTGTTGTCTGGACCGGTGAGGCCAGGGCTGAGGAATGGACTGTAAACTGCAGCAGTTTGTTTCTGATGTTGTTGTTCTGACCCCACTGACTCTCAGCAGTCACATCAACACAAAGTTGACAGATGTGTAAATATGGGTGTAATGCCAAGCTGGGCCACTGACTGATTACTGGTTAGGACCTGGCACAGTCGGTGTGGTTGAGTGTGTGTGTTCCTGGCGCAGCTATGCCACAGCAAATGTGGTTTACAGTTAGAAAACTGGCTACATGTTAGCTAAATGTTTCCTGTTGGTTATGATGTGAGCCCAAAGAACATGTCTTTAAAAAGTACAGACATGCTGTGATAAAGAACAGATTAAAACCACAGCCAACGACAGGGCAAACATCAACTCAAATGCTTGCAAACATTGAACAGGCGGAGGCCAAAGCTTCATTACTGCAGAGTTTCTTAAACACCTTTATTGATTGATTAAAAGTCACCGCAGCCTGACCTGCAAAACGTGGGCAGGAAGCAGCTCGCTTCCCACCAGGAACTGAAATATCACAGCTGAACTCCTCTGTAGTCTTGGCACACATCTGCACTAACGCTCCATCTGCAGCGCAAGACAAGTTTTGAAAAAAATGGCACCTCGGAAAATTTTTCATTTGTCGAAGCACGAGTGTTCGAGTGTGAAAACAGTCTTATCTGGTTTCATTCTTGATAGTTTCGGCACCAGCGCAGTTAAAACTCCTGCCTTGTCAGATGTTAGGTGACGTGTGTGAAAAAACCTGGAATTTAAACCCACATCCAGATGATAGTTCTGTGATTCACCTCCTCTGTGAAGTCTCCCTGCTGATGATTCCTGACAAGGTCCTGTCAACGCAGGAGATTAATGTAATCACAGGGCACTGACATGAGGACGTCAATGTCAGTGCAGATAATCTGTGTGTGTGTGTGAGTGTGTGTGTGCGTGAGAGGGGTAGAGTGTGTGTTCAACGTCTTCTCACAAAAGTTTCTCCTCTGATGTTAGTCCAAACGGCAGCAGCTGCTACTTTATAACTTCTGCTGTTTCCTTACACAGGTTGGTGTGATTTTTTTTAACATGTGTGTGTGTGTGTGTTTGTGTGAGACAGGATGAAAGTGAGAGGAGTCCTTGGCATGTAACACAGTGTTTGCTCTCATTTCCCCTGCTACCTGATCTCCACTGACGGTGCGGGCGTTTCATCCTCAGCAGAGCGGCGTTTGAAGGTCTCGCTCACCCTGACGTTACATCACCACTATTTCCTCTCATTTACATTTCTCTGTCATCTGCTGCATGTAATACACTCTCGTGGTATGTTGTGTGTGTGTGTGTGTGTGTGTACTGGTGTAGTTTACAGTCAAGCCCCTAAAACACACTTAATCTAGCTGCAATTAACTGCAGGCAAAGAAGGACTTTCAAACTCCGTACCAAAAGACAGAGGACTGAACCAGCCAATGAGTGACCTTCTGGCTGTTATCTTTATTTTTGCGCCAATCAGACAAAAAAAGATGACTGTAACTTTGCCAGCCTAACAATGTCCAGTCACATGTCCCTCGGTCAGTCGTTGGCGTCTAACTAGTTTTCAGACTTTTACAACATTTTCCAGACACTGCACTTAAAATGAAGCGCCCGTCGTTAAAACGCTGAGTCTCATTTTAGCCTGAAGGGAAATGTTCTGCCAGACTCCAGTAAAGACAACACACCAGATCAGTGGTCCAGAACAGGAGGACGATCCAAATAAGGGAATCAGTCATGGCTAAAGAGCCAAATGGTAGAATGCCTCACAGTCTCTACTTGCTTTCATTTTGTTTCCGAGAAACACAGTGGCTAATAGTGAAACTAACGTTTTAATGGTAATCAAAGTTTCACTGCAGCAACTTCAGTTCCTGTTCTCAGCAGTCGTTCTCTACGGTTTAACCTGTTGGAAACAGATTAAATGATACGTCTAAAGAAAAACAGAGGGAAAAACCAGGGAAGGTCAGAACTTCAGGTCGGCCGTTGATGAAAAACACAAAACACTGCAGAGAAACAGAAACACACACAGACCAGCACAGAGACTACTTCCCTCTTCAAAGACAAGTCCCACACAGTCCAGATGATTGAACTGTCCATAATTTGCCAGGATAACTAAAAAAAAATTTTTTTTTTCCTATTTTCTCATTTTTCCCATTTTCTATTAGAAGTTCATGATCCATTCTTCTGGTAGTTTAGATACTTATATTCTGATTTAGAGGAAAAAAGAAACTAAAGCAAGACCATGTTGCAGTGACCATCAGCTGCCAGCAGGCTCCTTTATATGGTCCCACTGTAAATTGTGTGGTGCCAACTCCATATATAATCACCTACTGTACCATGCCTTATCATTTATTTTAATTTAAATAGGATTTAAATTGACCAAACTGACAAAAATCCCTGAAAGTAGCAACTGAGATCAAACTATTTACATGGAATGCAGGTGTAATATAAAGGAATCAGACGGTGAGATCCTCATCAATGGAAAATATAAGTTTTTTCGACAAGTCATGAAAAACGTCCAAATTCAGCAAGTGTCAAATTTATGCTGGTCAGTGTTTTCTTTTTTTTTTTGTTTTTGCAGGGACTGCAGAACAAGTGTGGAGACTGTGAAAAGCAATGATTCGGACCAGCCTTCAGCGTAATAGGCTTTCAGGGAGCTTTTCAGGACACAGTGACACCGACTGTCTGTGCCTGTGATAGACACCGTCCGTGAAGGTTCTGTCTTTGAAGAGGGGAGGAAGCCGCTGCTGTGGCAGCACCAAATCTAACCAGGCACAGAATCAGGTCAGGACTAAATTACCTCATAAAGGCTACAGGAGGAGAGAGGAGCGGAGGATGAAGAGGTGTCAGAGAAGAAGTCAAAGAAGGAAAAAGGTAGGAAGATATGAGGGGAGCCGACCAACCCCAGAGGACGGAGCGGTAAAGGATGTCGGCAGACGAAAACTAAGGTGATGAAGACCGTCTGCATGGACCTTCATTTGATCATATGAACGCTGGCCTTGTTGGTGAATTTGTTCAAAGAAAAAGGTTTGTCAAAAATTCTTATGACATAAATAAATTAATCAGATGAACTCCCAACAAGATGAATTCCATTTTAAATGTCAGTCAAAAAGTTTCAAGAATTATTAACAGAAATTCTGCTTACAAAAGTTGATTCCTAAATATAGAGCAATGGATTTGTTTTTTGTTTTTTATGAAAATAGTTGGGGTTTTTTCAACTTGTCCTGTGTGGTTGTTGCACAGAAGGTCATAAACAAGCCAATTACACACACTTGCTGCAATGTCAGGATTTGCCACAAGGGGAGTTGAATGACGCAGATGCAGCAAAAATCTCACTCACAAGAGCAATATTAAATAAGGAAGTGACAAACAGCAGTAAACATCTGGTGGAGAGGAAGTTGTCGTTGTCTGATCTCAGTTTAACGACTGAAATGTTACATTTTACAGCCTGATGTCAGTTTTTATAGTTTGACTCAAAGTCGTGGGAAATTATACGATTTACAAGAACAAGAGTTTCACCTTCACTGTGAACCTCTGCCCTGAACAGACAATGGAAAAGATAAAACACACACACCACATGCAGTCATTTGTTGCTTATTATTGATTGGAGGTTTTTGCCGAATGGCCCTAGAGTTTCCATTAGTCTGATGACCTTCACAGTTTGACTGCAGAACGATTGAGAGCACTTGTAAAATAAATTAAACACAGCAATAAGTTTAGTTGGAAAGACGTCACTGCTGTGTTTGAAATGGAACATGAAGCTTGACAGCAGAGCAGACCAACACTATTAACTTTGATTTACTTTGAATCTTTTCACTAAGTTGCAATTAGGTCCATGTGTCAATTTAGTCAATAGAACTGTTGAACATTATATAATTGTTTTCATTTGTCTAAATAGAATATTAGCAGTAAAAGGAAAAAGTCTGAGGCAGAACTCTGTTGTTTTTGGTTGTCACTGAACTGAAGCAGTCGGTAAAAGGGAAACTGACGACGTTTCTAAGCTGCTTTGGATAAAATGAGCTGGAAGATTGAGACCCAACACATTTCAAGCCACTCCAGCAGAATCACCTGCCACTTCAGTCTTCAGCATTTGTGTTTAAAAAAACGCCCATTTAAAAACCCATCACCATCTGGAGCCACACCCAAGTGTAGAGTTTCATCTTCCAGTTGGCTGCTGGTTGATGCTTTGACAGTGAAGCAGCCACTGATTGGTCGATGAACTATGAACCCACCTTGTTTCCTAAGGCTTTCTTGGGTGGGAAGATGAAGGTGTCCACCTGTGGGAACCTTCTCCTCAGGTCGTTGTGAAGCTCCCGGAACTCTGTGTAGCGTCTGTAGACGTTCCACTCGTTGTCCAGAATACGAATGTACACCTAGAAACAGATTAAAAAAATAATCCATATTTGTGCTGCTACTGGTGTAAATGTTCTGTTCAATTCAATACGCTGTGGAATAGTAGGAAGGAAAAATGAAAAACAAACAACAAAACACCAATTTCTGAGTGTCTGCCCCAAAATAGCTGTTAAAAATGACAGTATTTGTGTTCAGGCCTCACAGAGAGACATGTCTGTGTCAACAGACGCCTCTGTGTGACTAGCATACACCACGCACCATTAACTATTTAACTATTTAACTCTCACAGAACTTCTATTTTTAGAACGTCCAATCAAAGAAGAGACTTGATTCAGGTTCATGAAAACATGATTGAATGAAAAAAAGAATGGACACAACTGCTTTCCTTCCTGCTGGAAATGAATAATTTATAAAAAAAAAGTACACACTAACAATAAACAGGCTGAACAGGCAGAAATAGTTTGAGCTTAATCAGACAAAATCTTAAAATCTACCAAAGAAAACCTTAAAAAAATGTTTTTGTCAATCACCAAAACCTACACCAAAGAACAAGAAGAGAAGTTGAAGTCTGACTAATGATACACAGTATGACAGTTAGTCCAAGAAGCTAACATAGCAAAAAAAGTCCTCAAGAATTGAACAGTATTAAATTGTGTAGATATCATTAAAAGAATGAACCAAAAGAACTTGACAAAACCACCAACCAAAGGTATTAAATTGTGTAGATATCATTAAAATAATGAACCAAAAGAACTTGACAAAAATATTTTTTGAGTTCTAATTATACCTTCGAATATCTTTGAATAAAAGCATCTGCTAAATGTAATGTGATGTAATGTTTGTAGCAAATGCAGTAAGAAGCGCAGTAGGTCACAACATCTAAATAAATCTTTTTCTTTCACTGTGCAGACAGACTTACAAAAACTCTTACGCTCTCATCGTGTTATGTTTTTTTTTAATATGGGGAAAGATTCTTTTTTTAGCTAAGATATAATTGTGGACATGACGAAAATAAGATATTTTTGGGGGATAGCTGTGGAGAGAAAAGTGACAGCTGAAAACCTGTGAAGTGTCCAATATGTCTGCATGTGTAATTTTAGACATACAGACATGTCTAGACACTGTCCGTGTCATAAATAGGATTTAAATGGATGTGAAAATCGACAGTGCCACAGCATAGATGTCCAACATCATCTCACATTTACAGGAACATTTCATAGACAGAGACTGAAGAGCAGATTATTACTTTAGTTCCATTTATCACTGGACAGTGAACTGTGGTGCAGACCTTTGATTTAAATCAGTAATATTATTTCAAAATGTAAATGTAAAAAGATGTGGGTTTGACGCCTTTCTTAATTTCTACTTCAAAATGTAAAGCCGCTCTAAAAGCAAAGAAGGCCCTAACCCTGTACTGGTTAGAGTTGGTCAGTTTGTCAGAGTAACACACACCAACATCTGTATACCGAGCCAATCAGGTTTATTAAAAAAGAAACTCTAAAACCAGAGAGAAAAGCACAACTGTTCTGACTCTGATGGTTTGATGGTTCTCTCTCAACAACATTTCATTGGCAGAGGACATCGACCACGGTCCAATAACTGATGTTTATTTTTGGATTGCTGTATTTGTGCTTTTAGGACATTTGCAAGGTTCTGCTAAAAACACAGAGCAACGTGAAGTCCCAGTCATTTGGACGGAGAACTGGCTCGGTCTGGTTTTATCATTTCATCATTTCTGTTTTTCAAACTCATTCAACTGAAGCTAACTGCCAGGTTTGGGACTGAAATGACTCAGGAGTCCATGATGACGGTGGACGTCAAATGTCCCCTCATCACCCAGGTCAAATAAGAGCTGCATTAGCAGGACTGTGGCCGGAGATCAGTCTGATCATCACAGTGATTGTCATCTTAATAATAATAATTACACCAGTAGTAATAACAGTCTGTACTTCCACATTTTCATACGGTGACAGTCTTAGCACAGACGACTTAATCCACTTTGCAGCGTCTCATTGTCACGCTTATAAATGGCAACACATTAGCTCCTGCACACAGCCATCAGCCCTCAGCCTTTTGTGCAGACTTAACTAAAAGATTCCAGCATATATGGGGATTCACCAACTGAAGCATCCCTGGGATATTTGATCAGTACTTATCCACAAATACCTTAACCAACAAATACATGTACAGATCTTGGATTAAGGATTAATGCTCCTCAAAGTGGGGGGCGGGGCCCGCTGGTGACAGATTTGAAAGGTTCAAGTGATGATGTCACAACAGGACTTTTATTTTCTCCAAACAGGAGAGTCTTCAGTGACCAGTGATAGAAGCCTTGGATCAGGTGACGACTCTGCCAAGGTTCTTTTTTGTCCAACTCTACAGTCTGTCCCTTAAGTAGCTGCTTCGAACATCTGGTTGGGTTTCATTCTTCTTGTTTGTTTTGGACACTGATGCAACATTTACCAAGGTATCTGATCAAAAGTTTTACTTTTGTAACCCCCTAAAAATTCAATCTAAGAAGTTCCAGAGTTGGCAACTTGACTGGTTTGAAAAATCTTGAAGAAATTCCCTCTCTCATCCAAAGACCTGCTGTGGTTTTAAAAAACTGAAATGACTTCAAAACAGGTTGTTAAAACTGTTGAATAATTCCAGGCAGATCAAATGACCAGGGTGACTGACAACCTACATTGACCCAAAGCTCAGTGTTTTTAGGGGAGGAATGTTAGAGAAGAGAGTGTAAAGAAGAGAACTGGATTCTCTTTAACTCCAGATTTGAGGAGAAAACACTTCAACTTGAAGCTTCACTCCAGCAAACTAAAAGGTCATGGAAAAGTTCTAACTCTTCTTATTGACAATACTGCATCTTCCACATACAGCACAGAGATTTCATCAATAGAATCTAATGAAGGAGCAGAAGACAGATGGGACGTTCCTGTGCCTCCTCTACAGAACCTTCCTCCTTCCCTGGTACAGCATCATTACAGGGACTGTAGTCAAAAAGTGGCCCTGTCTCTGAGGAGCTGTCTGCACCGCCTTGTTTACTGCTGACATTTTGGATGACATTCCCTAATCAAATTCAATTTCTGATTTACACCACAGCAATGTGGCCTATATTTGACACAGGAATAAAACCAAACTGTCCCACAAGAGCAGGGTGCACCATAAAAGAGATTTAAAATGTCAGTTCATAGATGCTGCTCTCTCCGGCGTCTGTAATAAATGTTTAAAATGTTCTCCCAAATACTGCTCAGACTTCAATAAGCACAGCAGTGCCGGGGTTACAGTGGTCAAGTCCCAGCACTCAGGCAATGCTGAAATCAATGTAATGGTGATGATGTTTGTTCACGTCCTCAAACAAAAGCCCAAATATCCCAGAAAAGGCCGCTGCTGCTGACGTCTTCAGCCCTGGGACATTTCTGTGAATCCTGGCCCTCAGGGGATTTCAACAAACAGGACTCAGGGAAGATAATGATGCATCTCTGCCTCTCGTATCTCCCTTTGAGCAGACATTGGTGGGCTCTCTCTTTTTTTTCCCCTCATCTGACGCCGAGGCTAACTGTGGTAAGAACAGCATGTGAGTCCCATTCCCAGCTCCACAGGAGACCCTCGCTGAGAGCCCTTTTGTTCACTTCACAGCTGGAAGACCACACAGCAGCCGGGTACAAACAAATCGCCTGTTTTTCCTCTAAAGAAAAGGCGTAAGGATGACTCCGAGCGGTCACAGTCAATCAATGGATGAACCGCCGCGGATCAAACCCCATCTGCTTCTCACCTGTGCTGGTTGATCTTCAGGAGGACTTAACACTGACAGAAGGAGTTAATGAGAGCACAGGGAGGTTAGAAAAACCCCACGTCAACCAGGGAAGGCAATTCATTAGAGAGCATTTAAGAGAGAGTGAGACCATAAAAGGCACTTATGTCAAACTCAAGGCCGGCGGGCCCAAACCTGGCCTGCATTACCACTTAAAGAGGCCCACCAAAGCTTAGCTTAGACTATAGGTGACTTAAAAATAACACGGAACAGTAGAAGGTCTACACTTGTGTTTACTAGATGGGTTAAATGCAGGAGTCCAATCCCATCCATGGTGGTTAATTTACATTTCTAATTCTCTAATTCCAAATTTGTTCTATGTTTTGTATTTTGTTTTCTGTGTTTTTTAATTTATTTTATTGAAGAAATGGTTGTTGCAGTCTGTTCAGAGAGCATTGACACTCATAAAATCACATTTTCTCTATGGTGAAATACATTTTGAAGTATAAAACATGTACTATTTACTATGTAGTTAATGTATTAAGTACAGCCTAACTAATGAGTACAAAATAAAAGCTGGAACCAGCCACCAGGGGGCTGAGGTTTGAGAAAACTGTTTGTCAAAGACGTAGTAGTAGAGTAGACGGGAAAAAAACTTTCAAACCAAACTATGTTGTCGTGCATCGCTGGTTTCACCTTCACTGAACAAACCCACTTAAGGAAACACTGCTAAAGAGGAAGACACAGAGAGAGAGAGGATGATTATCACCTTGTCTGCACTAAAGGTGTTTATTTTAGAGCAGCGCTGAACCTGACACCCTGCAGAATTATACACTTTATAGAGTGAGAGGAATGAGATGAGGGAGGAGGAAGAGCAGGAGGAAGAGAAGGAGGAGGAGGAGGAGGAGGAGGAGGGAAAGCAGGCGGCAATCAAGGCACAGGGTGAAAGTTGAAAGAACACAGGTTATTCTTTAAATGAGGAGTTTTTTTTTTCTCGTTGCTATGCTAATGTAGCAAAGCAACAACACACTATAAAATAATGTCAGGCTGCAGACCGACCTTGCAGCCAGAGTTGGACCAGGATGAAATCTTAATGATTGAATGTAAATGTAAACAGTAAACTAATGAAGACAACTCTGTTCTTTTTGGATTCATTACACACAAATACTACTTCAGTATTTGACATGACAAGTGGGGCAGGACGATCGGGAGGACATTTCCATGGTTCAAGTGATGGTGTCACAACTGAACTGTGATTTTCTCTTTTTAAACTTTGTATTATTTAACGTTATTGATTGCATGACATCACTTGGCGTTAGTTCAATACATCTGACATGTAATTTGTCAAGATTTGTGTTGGGGTGACGGGGGCAGGTGGAGGCTTTAAAAAGTCCCATGAACATGCAAACTGCACACTATAAGTCAGATGCCACCAAGGATCGAACCAATGAAGCTTTTGCTGTAAGGCCAGAGTATCAACCACTTTTCCACCGTGGTACCACTGATGGAACTTAAGTTCCCCACGGCCAGCAGGGGATAACTTGAAGTTTTATCGCCCAGGTGGGAAGACGGTCTAAAACCACGGCAGATGGAAAACAGGTCAAGCCTCAGCTCTTCTCTCTAACTCCCCTGAAAACTGCTGCCATTACGGTGGCCTCATCACCTGCTCTGTTCTTACATCATCTCTCTCCATCATTACCGTCTATCCTGCCTGTTTCTCCTCCAACTTGAGTGAAACTTTTTGGAGGAGACACTTTCTCCTAAAATTTTTAACACACAATTTAACAACAAAGTGAATAAATCACTGACAAGTTGCGCTGAGCAAGCCAGGCAGTAAATGACTGAGGGTAAGGGCGGAGTGGAGGATACAGAGGTATTGAAAAGAAGTTTTTAAAAAAGGAGGAGAAGAAGGCAGGATGATGGAGGATGGAGAGAAACAGACACAAATAAACTCTGTGAATGCAGTTTATTGTGAGAATCTGGGGCGAAGGAGCACAGGGAGCAGAGCAGAGAGAGGGAGCCGATGCACGGTGAAGAATTAAGCCCTGGGCCGGGACTGGATCAAATCAGTTATCTGGAGGCTAAGGGAGAGATCGTTAAACTGTGAGAAAGGGCAGAAGAAAAAACACCGGCAGCAGCCGAATACTGACTCTGACCTGGTTTCCCTGAGAGACAAAAAGGCCAAACAAAACTCTCCGTCCCATCTCCCACTATCTGTCTTCAGCAGCCACCAACACACACTGAAAGGTGACAAAGTGCAACAACAGGGCGTCACCTTTCACCTCGACACTCAACCTGGGATTTGTACTAATCCAAAGTGCTAGAGGTCACTATTTAAGACCCCAACGAGAAGGCTCTGACTGGAATGTTCTCTAAAGAAAATAGACAAAATGAGATTTTTGCAGTAAATTGGAGTTGAGACTGAGCTTCAAGATTTAAAAAAGTGAAAAGGACATAAAGCTGGAGACAAGGGGAACATAGTAAATGTTGACCTTTACACAGACTGTGGTACTGGGTGATCAAAGGTTAGCTCATCATTTAGTTGGTGACCTCTCCTTCACCATTGCTCTGCACTGGAGCCAGGACTTAAAGTGCCTGAAATTGAAATACGATGTAAAGGACTGCAGCACTGAAGGTGACATGGCGTCTGTTTGCCCCTGCACCATCCTGAGGGCATTTAATCTATGGCTGATGGATGTGAGACTGAGACGACGAGCGTAATTATGGTCATTATCCCTGTAAAACATTCATCATTAACATCATCACCATTACAGTTATCTCCCTCTGTCAGCAACCGGCCATTATAATCACACATGAGCGTGTGCACTTACTGGGAGTCCTCAACATGCGTGGCAGATTGAGAAAGCCAATGAGAAGGAGCCACATTTAAAGAGCCATCTGTCCGTCATACAACACGCAGCTCATGTACCAAACGACTCGTAAGATCTCACCAACGCATCTGCATGAAATGTAGA